TAAGTTGAATACAGATGTCTAGGTAATTATTCAATTCTGTATACAGTAGGATTTGAACTCTAGACCTCTTGCATGGCGGTCCAGCAACCTAACCACTACACTAAGATCACCAGATCTTTTTTTTTTATTAAGATAGTTTTCTTTGCTAATTAGATTTTATTAATTTGTTATTACAGAACTACTCTAAAGTAGACTCCTAAGATTTTATAGTTACATAATGAATATATAACAAGCTATACATACAATTTTAGTTATTATTTAATTTAAGTAGTTTGCTATACAGACGATTGACCATCTGTTAGTTCTAAACTATACTGCTATACCTGCAACCTGTCTATGGATTACCTATTTAAACACTCTGATCATTAACTCTTCTTTCTATTCCAAACTAATGTCACCACTACATCTGATCACTTAAGCTAGCTAACTTGCTTGTAGATCTATTTACTGCATGACTTAGGTCTTCTTAGAATATATATACCTAATATATTGTGAGCTGCAGAGCTTCAGTTAGCTTCAGAAGCATACCTACTAGAGCAGTCTATACTTATTTCATGAATTTATCTAGTTTAGACCTTTGTAGATATTTATACAATTCCAGTTTCTACTGTAGCTCTCTACTAGTTTTCCGTATTCTATCTTCTCAGATATTTCATGAGTTAGATTCTCTCAATTCAGTTAGCCACTAAGCCAAGTTGGTGTTACCAATTCTCTCTATAAAATGAATTTATACATATCTAACTTGATTTGCATCTTTTAATAATAGTTTTCTTTCTGAATTAAATATTAGCCAGTATGACTATTAAAAGCTATACTACTTCACTAACTCAGGATTTCTACCATGCAGATCCTCTGCCTGTAAATTCTATTAAGATTTATTTGTATAACATTATGCTCTCTAAACACTTTGTTATACTTCCAATATTCAAATGATATTAGTACAATATGATTTACAAGGTTACAACTCCAGAAACAAATAGGGTTTACTATAAGTTGAGTATAAAGGTCTGAGTAATTATTCAAATTTGTCAATAGTAAAATTTGAACCTCAGACCTCTTATATGGTAGTCTGGCAATCTAACCACTACACTAAGATCACCAGACCTTATCTACTTCTTTTAATTTATTTTGTACTTTTGCTAATAGTCATAACAAAAAACTTTTAAATATTAATTAAGTTAATTCAAACTTTAAAAGAGAAAATTTCTTTTTCTATAAAGTTTTTAAAGTATTTTTAATAGCTACTGCAAAAAATAAAAAAATAAATAATATTTTTTAGCTAAAACAAAAAAGAAGCTTATAATTCAATCTATTAATACTTACTATTTTGCTAAAGTAATTATATACTACTCAATTAAGCAAAATCTAACAATTACTATTCCAGAAATTTTTACAGAATATAAAACTAAATTCTATTCTAAGACTGAAAAATATTTTAACAAGTTTTTTTTTTTGCTATTAAAAGTAGCTTATATTGTTGAAAAAATTTTATTAGTATTGCAAATAAAATTATATATTAATAATCTTTACTATTTTGTAATTATATAAAAATATACAACAAGCTATATATATAACTTTAGTTATTAGATCTGGCAATCTTAGTGTAGTGGTTAGATTGCCAGACCACTATGCAAGAGATCTGAAGTTCAAATCCTACTATCAACAAATTTGAATAATTACTCAGACTCTTGTACTCAACTTATGGTAAACTCTGTTCGTTTCTAGAGTTGTAACCCTGTAAATCATATTGTACCAATATCATTCAGATATTGAAGTGTGACAAGATGTTTGGAGAGACATAATGTTACACAAATAAATCTTAATAGAATCTACAGGCAGAGAACCTGTATAGTAGAAATCCCAAGTAAATGAAGTAGTATGGCTTTTGGCAATCATACCTAGTGTTGTCAATGGACATAGATATGGACATAGATATATGTTGTCTATAGACAGTCTATGTCCATGAACAAATAAAAATTATGTCCATGATAATATCTATGTCCAAGATAATATAATACTACCAAATAAAAATTAGGTATCATGCATATAAATCTTATAACTGAGGTTTTGTTTTTTATTTAGTAACAATAAAATTCTGTATCTATATACTTTTATAATTCATATAAGCAGAGGCTATTTGATGATCTAAAAGAGGAATTGTTTAGACTTAAAATTTGGACCCAAGTAATCTAATTATTGTTAATTTTTTGAGTTATTAAATTAAAAATATATATATATTTAAATAAGTTCGATCTCTTCCATTTTGTTAATCGAATATTTGTTATAACAATATGCAAGAATTGTTAGTAACTTGTATAATATTTATAATAGAATACTTTTAAATTAAAAGTATGAGTAAATAATTAGAGTATAACAAGGTTCAATAATAAAAAATTTGTAGTTTCATATTTAAATAACTCATTAGAAATAATTTTATTGTGCATGTCCAAACTTATTAAACTAGCCTTGCAAAGACCCTAATACATATTAGATAAAATATCAAACAAAAAAGAAGTTAAAAAATAATAATATACTTTTGCATTTAATTTAATAGATTAAAAGTGTTCTCAAGTAGCAATCTCAATGAATTAGCTATTAATCATAATAGTTCTCAACTATATAGTAAATTTTAAATAGATTTTTGTCAATAATCAATAGAATGAATAAGGTATAATTGATGTAATAATTGAATTACTGATTTCAATTAATTATTGTGCAAATACTTTCATTATTATCTTTTATTGTTACCATTAAAAAAATTATTTTTATAAAAAATAAAAAACAATGAACACAAAAAAATATATACTAGCAATACTAATACTAAATATATCTGAACTCTTGTTAAGTTCATAAGTAGTTCAGAAGTTTTGAACTTTTGTATAATTGAAGATCAAATAGTTTAAAGTTATTAAAGTGTTCTAATATTGTTTAACGTTCCTAAGAATAATCTAAATAATAATATAATCAGTGTAACATTAAAATTTTTTTAAAAAATAAGAAATATCAATTTTGAATAAACTAAATAATTACCGTATAAGTACTTTATAGCAATATTAAAATATTTCATAAAGCGTAACATAATTTTATCAGAGGTTTTTTTTAAAAAAAAAAATTCTATCAAAGATATTCACATTTGAACTATAAAGTTTTAAAAATGTTCTAAAATATTACTTAGCTCCAATTCTCTAAAAAGAGTAGCCAATTCCCACTTTGCTGTAGTATTGGTTGCAGGATAAACAACGTTATTTATAGAAAATTCATCTTTACCTACATATCCTGCTTCAATATCTTTATCATCAAACTGCTGCTTTTCTTTATCTAATATATCTACTCATTCTTGCAAGAAGTTATCAAAATTTTCTTCATCACTCGTAAGTTTATTATCCAATTCCTCATCTAAAAATTCCTCTATTTCTATATTTTCTAAGAATTCTTCTGTATCTTCGAAAAAACTCTGATCATTTTCACTATCTAAATTAGATATTTCAATATTATCCTGTTCTACAGGATCAATTTCAGATTGTTATGCAAAGATATCATCATATATATGTATTGCTAAATCAGGTTGTATTCGATGACTGTATGTAATGTCTGCACGCAATTTGCTCATTTGTAAGGTTTTTTCAGGCTAATATAATTTAGTAATATTTAGTAATTTTAAAGTTTATATATATACATTTGACCTAAAATGAAATCTAATTGTTCAAAATTATATTCTGAACTAATATTAGAAATCTGAGATAATTTCAATATTTTCATGCTATATCAAACTTAATTAAATTAATGTTCTCACAAATTATTAAATATCACAGATTATAGTAAAATTTGGGTCTTCTTTTTAAAATATAAAATCTACTTGTAAATAACTTTAACCTAACCCTAAATAAGCTAAGAAAATACATTTCAAAAAAAATTTAAATTTTTATATTAAAATAGGTCCAAATTTCACTATAATCTGATTTTACTATAATCCACAACATAAAATATAAGAGAGCACTATTTAAAAAAAATAAAATAGTCTTAATTCAGAAGTGATAATAACATTAGAACATAGAATTTCTAATACTGTTCCAAACTTAAATTTGACCTTTCTAAAAAATAAATAGTTTCAGATCACAAGTATTATACAATATATAATTAAATTTACAACTAAACAGTTACGTCTTTTAGTTTATAAGAATCCTATACAACTTCAAAGTTGTTCTACAGCAGCAGTATTTACATATATCTCAAAAATCTGAGTCGCAACTAAACCTAATTCTTCTGTTGATAAACTTGCAAAACACCAATATTGATAGATATTACCTGAAAATTAATTCCATGTATTTGAATTAAAAGGATACTTTTTCAAATGAAAATCATTAAATTCTCTTAAAATTTGTCTTGAATCCTTTCCAAACCATACATGATAATAATATACTAGTCAGAGACCAAAGTTAGTATAGTTAATATTAATACGAAACTACTCTATACAGTAATTGGGATATAAAAGACAGGCAAGAATTAATAAAAGTTGTTTCCAATCATTCCATCGACATTCTAAATGTAATATAAGTTGAGTGCTAAGCTACACGTCATCATAATTATTTCAAAATTGAAAAAGGTAGCCTAAACTTAAGATAATCTGATGTAACTGAGCTTTGTCAGATTGCAATTTATTTAAAATCATACAATATGGTCTAAGAATATTAAACTAGGCACTAGAGTTGTTAAAGGGAGTTAGAATTGAGTGTAATATATTGTATTATACTGGTATAATACATATGTATAGAAGCGTGTAACAGAAATATATAGCTTCTTATAAAATTATATTTAAAATTAACTGATCTTTTAAATAAAATACATTTCGTATTAAATTTATTATATTTGATTATCACTTATCTAATTTAAGTTGTAAGGCT